AAGCAATCCTGAAAAATATTTGGGGGTGCTTAACTTTTTTTTCAGGTGTATATATTAGATTTATCTTTGAACAGTTTAGGTAAAAGCAATTAAAAATTTGCACTGAAGACTGAAAGGTGTGTAAGTTCACTATAGTTGGTACATTGGGTTCATTTTAGTTTTTCTTCAATTAAATCATTTATGCCGCCTCATAGAAATCTTTCATATTATCTTTTGATATTTTTTGATGATTTTATAGTTAAACAACCATAAGTGACTAATAGTAATCGACAAATGTGCTTTTATCAACAAGTTGTTTTATTTTCTGATTTAGTTAGATGAGACGTTGACCATCTGGCATTTCTGTTTTTCCTGTAGCATTTATGACGTCACAATTTTTAATACAGGGTTGTGTACCTAGTGGCGAAGGGAACGTTTCAGCCTTCTTTAATCATGCTCGTCGCCAGTTGTAGGCCCATAATATTTTCGTTAGCGTTGCGTCCCATGTTACCTTGCCTAGTTGTATTATTACCTGTGCACTATTAGAAGATTAAAGAAACTGCTAGTAATAAGAGGGCCAAGTACTTGTGGGAATGGAAATATCGGGTGTTTTCAACACGCTCAGCGTTGTCAGCGGATGTTGGGATACCTAAGTAATAGCGCCTCTATGCTTTTCATTGTATATGATTCCCTCATCTGTGGCGGGAGATTAAAAGTGTTAAACCTTAGTCTGTAGCCATCACAAGTTCACATAATGAATCATCAGCATACAATCCTCTTCCCATAAAGCCCCCCAGTGGCACAGCGGTATGTCTGGTGACTTACAACGCTAGAATCCGGGTTTCGATACCCGTGGTGGGCAGAGCACAGATAGCCCATTGTGTAGCTTTGTGCTTAATTACAAACAAACTTAGAAAACTCTTCCCATAAAGTTCCCAGAATACAATAGGAATATTGATCTTTCTCAGTCAGCCTCCAGGAGTGCTGTTTTGGCTAGCAGCAGTACTTCTAGTCTCTTTTCCAGCATATCTTTAACTCGAAATCTTCGACTCGCAACATCTCGTTCCCATAGTAGTGCGACGTGTGGCCAGCGTTTTTCATCTTTAGCTAACCTACTGAACACGTGGCGCTTGTCCGAGTTAGTTGTGCCTTCACATTTGAACAGGTGGAGTTCAGTGATAAGGGAATCTTTTTATCTCTCCAATCCTGTGAGACGTGTAGCTTTTGTATTTTAATCAAATATAATACACGCAAAAATAATCTTAGCCCGTAACTTGTGAAAAACTTATTTCAACAGAATTAAAGTAATAAATGACAAATAAATAAATAAAAACTGGTGTTCTTCAAGTAAAATTAAAGTTACCTGAACAACTTTGTTTTCGGAAGGTGGTAAGCTCTCAGTAAACATTACAAGTCTTTTGTACAGAAAGTAATCAGAATTTTTAATAAAGTATTTTTACTAAAAATTAATGTTTTGATATATGGAGTCAAAGTTGTCACTGCTAGGAGTGTAAAGCGATTTTCATTTCAAGATTAAAAATACTTTTCTCCATCTAAAAATTAACAAATTTCTTTTGTATAATGTATAAAACCTCCGAAATAAATTTCCAATCTTTTTTTTTCGATAAATCATTTTATCTGCTATGTTCAATACCTAATTTCATGTGAAACCGGTCAGTTTGACCAGCCTCGTAACGACCATAAAAATACAAAACAAATCAAACTTATCTTTTTTTCCTTCTAGAATTACTTCAAATTGTACCAGGAAACTACAGTTGCTTACAATAAATAACGTAAAGCTCTTAACATTATACATCTGTTTCTAATTAAATTTTATTGTCAAAACTGTCAAACTTTGTAAGAAACCGTTGGTGAAACTTCTGTATCTAGATAGGTATCGTATCATCAATATCTAGATACGTACCGTATCGACTACTATTGTATCAGCCCTAGTTAAAATGTTTCATAAATCAATTCTCTATAAAACGTGTGAAAATTAGTAGTTTGTAACAGCGAAGGGCTAGACGCTAGCGGCACCTATACCAGTACTATACTATATTGTCCTCCACCAAACCAGCATCGTGCATGTGGCGCCGAAACAATACTCGCAAGTAATTGCACGTGTAAAATAGTTTCTGAGTGAATTTCTACATAGTATTATTAATAATTATGACAATACTTATTAACAATTGTAAATTTATTTTACAGTGTTAATAGTAGAGTATTAAAATATGCATATAAGAGAATAAATTGCTTAGTCATTTAATGTGAAAGTGTAATGGCTGGCATGTACGTGATAGTGATATTGGCAGCTTTAATATAAAAGCGATTGAATTGAAGCAACATCGTGATATATAAATTACTTGGTAATGTGGGTATAAAGCAGAAGCTGGTTTAAGTTCACTAATATGTGTGTGTGTATATATAAACAGATAAATAGCTTACTGACTATCAATTATAATTATTGCTAATAGGCGATTTAGATCAGCACTGTTAAACAATAAAGAATTTATAATCATTTAAAGTGTATACTTTCGCTTCCGGTCAGTCATTCGTAGTCATAAACTGATAAAGCTTGTAGTAATAGCACCCAAAAAGCGTTGGGGATATCCCATCTACCAAGCAAAATTCAAAACATCGAAGTTAAACAAGTTGACCATCATTTTGATTTCTTTTATAGTGAAAAATTTAAATCAGCTTCTGCTTTATACCTACGTTATTAAGAAATTTAGTTTTCTGAAAGTTCAATGAACTCCATTGTTCGCAATAGCTAAGGCTCGGGTTTTTAATTTATTGTGAGTACTGTTGCCATGCGTGCTACTCGTTTTGTTTAAAAAATATGGAACTTGTAAAGCGATTAATATTGAATACTTATTTCATTCACTTGGTGTACTTTAAGGACATTTCACAAGTTTATACACTATTTTTAGTCTGATAAATTTTACTTTTTTTTGTTAAACTTTCGTTTTCGTTTGTTTCTCTTTTTTTTTATCTTTTTGAATAACCAGCATACATGTGTTCATAACGTTGACTGTAGTTTAAGCAAGTTTTTTTTTTCCCGTCATTATTTGATAAATGTTTTCAGCCATATAAATATCCCGCTTTCCCCATTTTTATTTCCAGATTAGAGTGTGACGTGCGACTTTTCCCGGTAAATTTGCCACTTGATGTTCATGGACTGGGAGAGTGCATCAGTATACTTGGTGGACCTGTTTTCCAGTATGTTCTGTTCACTTTGTATATGATAAACTTATTAAACTGACATAACATATTTGCTAGTTTACATGCTATAATGTTAAAGTAAGGACAAATTAGAAAACGGTGACGTTACTAGACTTATGATGACGATGTACAACGGAAGTGGCCGCGTTTATCGTCAAGTGTGATGATGTCATTAATCAACAACAATGGTGTCAGATGAACTTTCAACGGCCGCTCACATGCACAAATATATAATCCCGATTCTTTATTATATTTTTGAGTGTGTTTTCTATTTTTTAAATTCTAAGTAAGCATCGATGATCTCATGCTGATACACATCTGTTCATGAAATAATGTAAAAAAATAATGGCTGGAGACGGCTTGAATGGGTAATGAAGAAAAACTTTAATATAACAGCAAATTTACAACGTTTCGACAAGGTTTTTGTCAACCTTGTCGAAACGTTGTACATTTGCTGTTATATTAAAGTTTTTCTTCATTACCCATTCAAGCCGTCTCCAGCCATTATTAGTCTCAAAGTGGGTTCCTCGTCATCGAATGTAAAAAAAATGTATTTCGTATTAAAAATTCTATATTACATCTAAAGTTTATATTCTTAAACTAAGATAACGAAAGGTGTATAATTTGTGAATTAATTCTTAATTTCATGATAAAGTCGGTAAACCTTAGTCACAGGTAACTAATGTCTAATGACAATTTACTATGTGGCACCTATGTTTTGTGGTGTAATATTAAATTTTTTGAAGTTGTTAATCACCAAAGCTTTAACACACTCTTTGTTGTTTATGATAGTAAATTTTGTTTCCTTTAACAGAATTTCAAGCTATTCTTTGATTTGATACTAACGAAAATATATATTATTATTAAAACAAGTTATGAACTTAAAAGATCACAATTTCGTAACTGACATCTCCCTCTTGATTTATGAATTGTTCCAAGACCTGTTTATTACAAAGTCTCAATATTTTCATCTAGTATTTTCTCCCCTTCACCAAGTGCATACTATTATTATAGGAATAGTCGGTGAATTTATATAAATAAATATTATAAGCCTTACTTCATTAAATTGTCCGAAATTTATTTGAGATGAAACCCGATTTTTTTTATGTTGAATAAGTATTGGATTTTTTTTCTCGCTCTCGCTTTTCATTTCCCAAAGATTGAGATAAAATTCCTATACAGTTTTATATAGTAGGCGATCCTAGTCTGGCTCTGAATATTTAAAGCCAAATATAGAAGAAATATTACAATATTTTCGTACAGTGTGATCGGTTTTGTTGGTAAGGAAGAGCGTTACATTACTTAGATATAACAGAAGAATCATTTTTGGGGAGGCCAACAGGGACGTCTACCCCCATCAAGCTTAGAATTGGGCCTAAGATGGCAGTTTCCGTGAGACGTTTCTGGTCCGGCCGGATTAACACACGTGCACAAATTACGCCACCCCCAGCCTTTTGTAAAATGACATTCTGGAGATAAAACATATTACGAAAGAAATTCTCTCGGCAATCTCTCTCTCTTTGTAGTTGTGTAAAGGACTGACTAGAATGGGTAAAGTGCATGCTCTATCTCTGCCTCTCACTCATATATATATATAAATATATATATATATATATATATATTGGTTATACTTTGGTGACAGATTTTCTTGTAGGCAGA